CTGCCATGGAAACTCTTGTTTACCTTTGAAATTATTGAGTTGAGTTGTCTGACAATTCCATAAATGGCGTTTTCGGAAGATGAGTCGTCATCGCCGCTTATTAATAAATACAGTTGTGACAACTGCTCTGAACAACATAACCTGTTTGTGAAAAAATAATTCTATTTGTGAAATCCACAAAAAATTAACACATTTAAATGATTTTGAGTCATTTGGACAGATCCATTTTCAACTGTGTGTGTAGGATGAAAGAGCAATCATAGAAAGTTGTCATCAGTTGATCCTAAAATCTCAGAAATTGCCGTCGGCTCATGTTTGTACATATTTCTTCGATATACTGAGTGAAAGCTATTATCTAACAAGATATCTTGATTGAAAGCAAACGTTACATGTTCTGACTTTTTTTCCAATTGTCAAAGAAAAGTATATGTTCAATTGCATATTTTACTGATAATGTATGAGTATTCTTTTGTTGTCCCAACTTTGAGAAGTTTTAGTGTTATATAAGATTTCAGGTAAAAAAGTTATTTTATTTCAAATTCACAGCAGCTCTGGTCTCTTCAAAAAAATTTGAAACATTTTTAGGTTTTAAGATGAAGATTTTTGTTACTGTTTACATGAAAGAATGAATGTGGAAAATCTTCGTTTCGTATTATAAATGTTTTCCGTTATTCATTCATATAAACAATAAATAACACTGGTTCCAATACTTAGCTTTGCTGATGTCTAAGTTTCAGTGAGAAAAAATAGCAATTGTGATAGCTTTTTGGTGAAGACTAAATTACATGAATTATGGGTGCAATCGAAAGAATATATTTTTTAAATACTCATACAAATTCTAATTTATAATGCTCATATTCTCTCTCGAGTGAGATATCTCATTACAATTTGATCATCCTGCACCAGAAGGCAAAAAAATATGATTTATCATTCAATGAATAATGGAATAGTGTGGACGAATTCTACCAAGGCTTCTATCGAGTAATTGGCACATAGCTTTGTGTAAACAGGTTATTGAAATCAACACGACATGGCTATCAATGTTCATTACATAGCATTATATATTTACATTTACTCAATATTCATATATTCAGGTACTTTTATTTGTATCTGATTAGCTGGGCTCAATATTGTTCTGTCCATTTAAGCTGCTCTTGTCTCTAAGCATCATTTTTTACCTTGCATTTGTTAATTTAATGTCCCATATACACGTTTTACTTTACTTGACTTTGCCAATAAGATGTTAAAATCTTAGGTAATAAAGCATATTTTGATTTGATTGATGATATACTCCATCTTTAGAAGTATACAAAATGACTTTGAATCATTAAATATTCTTTTAAAAAGCTAAATTCGTATGTAAATTGTGTTTAAACCCCCTGAAAGATAATATTTGATTATTAAAAACTTCTAAATTGCATGATCATAAAACAAAAAGTTCGAATGGTTTCCATCTTGATGTAATACATACTACCAAAGGAAAGAAAAATACCAAAGAAATTTCTTTGGTTTAATGATGATCATCAAATTTTAATGATTATCAAAAGTTGTTAAGTAGTTTTGGTGTTTATCCATTACAACAAATAACAATCTTTTTCACTTACTAGTTCAGATTGGCATAATGAAAGTGTTGACGAATTTTATGAAATTTAATTATCGGATAATGGCGTTACACTTTACTGGTGAATATTATAAATAAAAACAATTCTTCTTTTCAAGGTGAATTAAAAAAAAAATTATTAGAGATTAGTTTTTTGGGAAAAAGTTTTTTGGCTTCCTACTTATCCATCATTAAACACAAGATGTGGGAATCTTCCAAAGACGGGAAGAGGGAAAATAATAACAATAAAATACGCCTTACAGAGATGTGTGTCTCAAGCACAGGAATGTGATACAAACTGGAAGGAAATACCCGTACTAAANAATAGTTACTTAAAAAAGTAAATAAGAAAGCAGTATTCATAGTGTAATAGTTATATATATATCATCTAGTGCTAGTAATTACTTTGTTATTTCTAATGAAAATTTGATATGTGTTAAAGACCTTTTTTATCTATATATTTCTAATTTCTGTTCTCGCACAATAAACTTTTATTGTGTATTTATTTTGAATGTTTTCCGTATACAGGGTAGACAATTATTGAAGCACTGCCTTCATTCAAACATACATGTAATTTATAGGAAACTATTACATCTCTGATTGTATCCTTTGTTTTATTCTAAGAATCTAAACCTTATCCAATCCACTTTCTATTTTTCTCCACTGTAAAAAAACCTTGAGGTTACATTTTTATAAGCTCTATAGGGAATTGACTAAAAATACTTTAACTATGTTGACAGTGACAGTCACTTCTTTCATTTTGTTAAATTTCTCCATCTATTGGCCTTCTCTACTGTTGATCGATAATAAACTCCAGTGGACAGAGCATAACAACAAAGTGATAACAAAAATTGTTTCAATGACAGGAGCATTAAAACGCTGTTCAAAATATATAAACCACAATGTCAAAAAAACAATATATTACAGCTATATTGAATCACATATAAGGTATCTCGTACCATGTTGGGGCAATGCATCACAAGACAAGAATTAATTAACCAACTAGGAAGAGCGCAAAACAAATCAATGAAAACTCTGTATAACTTGTGTCGACCAACTTCCACAAACATTGTTTATGAAATAACAGAATTCCTAAAAATAGAAAAAATCATTACACTCGAACAAGTTAAACTCATACATGGATCCTTGAATAAACACATCTTATGTAATACCACCATGG